CCGCGGCGGCGGCCGGGTCCTTGGCGCGTAGGCTGTGCACGTCGATGACGGTGGAGTAGAGGTCCCGCAGGTTGATGATCTTGGTCTTCCTGTCGCGGTTCTCGTGCAGCACGGCGTTGGCGCAGATGAAGAGAAAGATGCCGATGCCCATGATGAGCGGCCCGAAGACCTTGAGCTTGTCCGAGTGCAGGTAGCCCGAGAAGATGCGGAAGAAGAAGCCCACGGGCGCGGGCGAGGACGGGCGGGGCGCGCGCGTGCTTCGGGGCGCGCCCACGGAGCTGGAGGGGGCGCCCCCCCGGGGGCTCCAGGACTGGGCCAGGCCGCTGCTGTTGGCCCGAGCACGGTGCCCGGTGCCCGCGGGGGGCAGCTGTCTGCCCCCCTCCCTGGAGGCCCCGCTGGCTTTGGGCCAGTAGCCCACCACGGCCAGGGCGATGCCCACCAGCAGCACCAGGATCCCGCACAGGGCGATGAGCCCCGAGACGGAGCAGAGCTTCAGCTTGCCTTTCACCACCACCACGTCGTTCTTGCGCCGCTGCTTGGCTTTCCGCTTCCGCTTGGGCACCTGGCCCGGGGGGCGCAGGGGATCCTGCTTCCGGGCTGAAATCCTCAGCAGGCCGCCGGTGGCGATCATGGCGAACTCGCAGAGCGCGGGGCTGGCCAGGGGGCCCGGCAGAGGCTCGTGCAGGGGGGCGGCCAGTGCCCACTAGCTGCTCCGCCGCCTCCTCCTGCTGCAGAGCAGAGGGAGACAGTCAGGGGTGGAGGCTCGGCTGCAGCGACATCCCATGCTCACAGTGGCCTGGCTCCCAGATCCCACGCCAGGGTGCCCCCCCGGCCCTCCCCACCAGCCAGGTGCCCAGCACTGGGACCAGGGGTGCGCGGCGAGCAGGGGACGGGGGCGCTGTTGCGGTAACCACAGGATAGGTGGTGATGGAAGTCTGAGGGAAGCCTCCGTCTGCCCCCTCCTCACCTCCTACGCACTTCCCTAGGTAATGCCAACCTCGCTCTGCTCAAACCCTCTGGCTTCCTGCCAGCCGGGACCCTGTGTGGGGACTCAGCGTAGTGGTGGAGGGCTTTCCTGGCATCTTTGTCTGGCTAGAATCAGAGACTGTCCACGTGAGGGGCCCCAGGAGAGTCCCTGGCTTGGCTATCCGTCACTAAAACAGTCACAAAAGTTTCTCTTGTACCAAAGCAAAAAGAATTCACCTCAATGGATGAAAGGAAAGGCCACACAGGCAGGGAGGCGGCTTAGTTACTCCACATGCTCAGTAGAGCTCAAGGCTGGGAAGAGAAATGTTTCAACACTCCCTGAGCAAGTCCCTGCACCAAGCTGGCTGTCTCCTGTTCTGGTTCCTGCAGCTAACGGCAAGCAGATCCCTCTGACAGCCTCCTCATCGCGACTCTGCAACATCTGGACAGCTTCTGGGGTGGAATATTTAGTTTTAGGTAACGGTTATGTAACTGAGCTCTTCCTAATGGCCTTCTCTCCTCCCTCAGAGGAATTCCCTTAAAGGTACCTGGTGCTACATCTCCCCAGGGATTTGCAGAGGTCCCTCGGAATGTCCAAGAGAAACATCTTTCTCTCACGTGGGGAAATTACAGTGGGAGGGGGCGCACTCTGCCACAGCAGTTTCCTGACCCCTGTCCCAGTAATGTGCCCACAGCGGTCCACGGAATCCCAGGACTCAGATGAGTAGGCAGTTAAGTAGGCAAGCGTCTGCATCGGAGCAGGGATGGTCCCTAGGATGGCGTTCCCTCAGGGGCAGCTGCTGGCCCTGTCCTTCTCAGGAGGTCATTTTTGGGAAAAGAAGGCGGCACCAACCCATGGGCTGTCTTTAGGAAGTTCATTTAGTTGTTTGTAATACAGCCTGCTGAGGTACATTCACGGATGCCTATTTGTGGTTACCTGTCAGCTTCTTAAAATCCAAGCCCTGCTGGTCCTTACTGTTAGAATGTTCTGTTCCACTGGTCTCGTTGCCTATTGTAACAGAGACCCTCACATCGAGGGTGCTGCCTGAGTCTGAAAGACGCAGCTGTCCCTCACAGGCCTTTCCTTTTAGGCATCTTATCTTTGTAAAATAATCCACGTTTTAGAATGGGCTGCCCTTTGATAACGTGGGATTGCTTGCTTTGAACTGGTGCTGGGTTGGAAACCACTGGCCCCGAGTGCTCCTCGCGCGGCGTGGGTAGAGGCAGAACCCTTCCCCACGTCTCAAAGCAAGTGCGAATCAGCTCCACGATGTCTGCTGATCAGTATCTCTTTGGAACTTACTTCAATCCTTAAGTACAATCCTTCCCCCACACCACCACATAATCGCATTTATCATGTATTTGCAAGATAGAGACTCCTACGTCTAGCCCTGGACTCCAGCCTCCTTAATAACCTGGAGGTCTGTGGCTGTCTTGCGAAGGCTTTGAGGACTAGACATGTCAGAAGCAAAGCCGAACTCAGTCCGCAGGCTGCCTCCCCGAGAAGCGCTGCCGTGCCGAGCGCTAGCTGTCCTAGGGAGAAAGGTAGCCGCTTAGAGCTCCCTGCCGCTCCGGCTCCGGGAGGCAGGAAGGGAGCTTGGAGTGGATTTCAGCAATCCTTTACAGAGATCTTTAAAATGAGTTTAATAGCTAGTAATTAGCTGCCTAGTTTATTATTCCTTCAGCTCTACTGAAGGCTGAACTTGCCAGCGCATCGCCACCCATCAGGAAAGGGTGACCAAAGTCCGGTGCCCCTGGAGACCCCCTCGGGGCCTTTCCTTTCTTTCACCTCATCCAAGAAACTTAGCGGCGGAGGGAGGCCGGCTGCCCTAGCGATCCGCTGCCTGCGCCGGGCTTCCCGTGGTGAGGAGTGGAGGATGGGGAGCTTCGGAGGGAGGGCTAAAAATACAACTGCTTCCAAGAGAGACAGTCAAGTTCTCCCGGCTCGTGATGGACTGAGCCCCGCGGCGTCGGGGGCTCTGCGCCCCGGGCTGCGAGCGCCCCGCGTCCGCGACCCC